CTCCCTCCTCCCTTTCCTTCCTCCCTGTCTCTGTCTCTCTCTGTGACTCTGTCTCTCTCATACAAAAGATGTAAGCTAGGACCTTATGCATGCTAGGCAAATGCTATGCACCACATCCCCAGCCTCTCACCCACATTCTTATCTACAAATTAGAGTTAATAAATTTCATAATATAGTGAGGATTAATGAAATGATGTATTTACAGTACCTGGTATATATTAAATGATCGTTTATTGACTATTTACTAAAGTGATATTTATTATTATTTTCCTTTCTTTGGGTTTCAGCCTAAGTGTCAATCTGTCATACTTTTCAGTAGAACACTAGCTCTGAGACCTCCACTGGAGAGCTGAAAAAAATCTTGAGCATTTCACCTAACCTTTTTGAGTCTGATTCATCTACCAAATAATAATCCCTACCCCCACTTTGTTTTTAATTATAGAGCTGGGTGTGGTGGCGCACACCTGTATTCCCAGTACTTGGGAGGCTGAGGCAGGAGAATTGCTGTATGTTTGAGGCCCATCTGAACTCCATAGTGAGACCCTGTCTCAAAAAAGAAGTTATAGTTGCTATCTTATTTAAAGCATTACTACAGTGTACAGTAGTGTTCAAGTATGTTTGTAGTCTTAAATTATAAAAAATTTCCATAATGTTGGTTTTAGTTATATATACTATAATTGAAATTTATAACAACTTACAACTAAAAACTATCTTTAATTTTGTATTCCTTCTGCTCTGAAAAAGCAGGATGTTCTTGACAAAGATTCTGGAGAGATGAAAGGCCGCGAGAAAAGAACAGGCAAAGTCATTCCTGTTCTACAAACCAAAACCAGGTAATATAACAGTATAAATATTCTAGTTTCTATTGGTTGTCTTTAATTTGTATCTTTTCCTTCCCAGTATCCCTTAGTATAGTGGGAAAAAAATCCAACATGGAAAGTAAGCACACTTGAAGTTCTGGCACTTTGAACTGTCTAGTCTTTGACAAATCAAATCTCTAATCTCACAGTTTCTCTATCTGCAAAATAGAGGTAACAGTGCCTTCTCTGTTGCTACACAAGGTTATTTTGAAACTTTAAAAGGAGTATTGTTATTAAATACTATATAAATGATTTCTTCTCCGGTGTATGAGCAGCTCAGTCATATATATGATAGGAGATTAGAATGATCTTAACAAAAATGTTAATATAGAACTATGGGGAATGTCATTTAGTCATTTTTCCCAGCCTGCACACAGCTGCCCGTAGGGAAATATGCATTCCAGTCAAAGGTTACAGATTTAGGTCACTTTCTCCATTTACTTTGTTATTGCCAGGAGATGGCAGTGTCTGTACATGGGCCTTGAATGTCCTACAAAAGGTGTCTTTCTTGGTTGAATCAAATGGACATACAGGAAAAGTTTTAAAATATTAATTTTGATGCTGGGCGTGGTGGCATACGCCTATAATCCCAGCACTTGGAAGGCTGAGGCAGGAGAATCACTGTGAGTTTGAGGCTAGCTTGGGCTACATAATGAGTTCAAGGCCAACCTTGAGTACATAGAGCAACTGTGTTTCAAAAAAACCAAAAAAGAAAAAAAAATAGTTATTACACATTTATTATATATTCTGCTTTAATATTTTAAAATATATTACAAGTAAGGCTAGTTGTTTTTGACTTTTACCCCAATTCCAATTTTCCTGTTTTGTTTACATAATTTGAAGGAAACCTTGTGAATTGCTTGCAATGGAAATTATACCAAAAGAATACAAGTCATGCTACTTGGAAGTATAATAAATTTACAATCTTAGTATCATCATCCATTGATCTTTAGGACTGTGCACTCATTCTTTATCACATCCAACTTTTCTATGGCTCTGTAAAGTTAACTCTTTCCTGAGTACCCTTGAATTACTCAACAAATGCTTTCTTCCTCCAGGGACTAGGTAATCTTTACCTTGTTATTCCGTGTTAGCGCTAGGTTATATCTATTTCTTCTCGTCCTCTTATTCTCAGTTCCTTACTTGATTTTAGATTTGTATTATGTGATTAATGCTGTCTTCTGTTGCTGGACCTTAAAAGAATTTTGCCTTTGAAAATTGGTTATTCTAACCAATCAGAACTATGTAATTTCTCTCTATAAAGCACTGTATTCATGGTTCTAATGGACTTTCTTTTTCCTCCTGGTTTCAAGGACTAATGTTTCGACGTTTTCACAATCAGATCTAGAGCAGCAGAAGCAAATTTATCTCAGGCGTGTCTTTGATCATATAGAAGATCCAGGGGACTCTAACCAAGGTAACATGGTGACCAAAGAATGACATATAAGATATGTGATGGGATTTTTTTCTTTGCAGTGTAATGCAGCCTAAACTGGGAGATTGTTTTAAATTTTCTTAAAGTGGTGGGAAAGATAACTAACTTCCTTACAGAGATTTTTTAAAATTATTTTTTGGTACTAGGAATTGAACTCAGGACCCTGTGCACTTGCCAGGCAGTTGCTGTGCTCCTGAACTATATCACTAGCCCAGAGATTTTTATTTTATTTATTTTTTTTACGTTTTGGTCTTTTTTTGAGACAGGGTCTCACTATGCAGTTCAGGCTGGCCTTGATCTCACTTTGTAGCCCAGGCTGGTCTCGAACTTGCAACGATCCTCCTGCCTCAGCCTCCCGAGTGCTGGGGTTACAGGTGTGTGCCACCATGCCCGCCGAGATTTTTACTTTAAGGGCTGGCCTAATCAGATAATTATCCAAAGCAGTTTGGCTGCCAGTGTTACAGATGGGTCCGGGCAGACACATATAGAACTGGACATGAAAGAGATACCCCACCCCATACCTGACCCCTGTTGACAGTGGGAGGTCAGATTTCAACTTCTTTGCTGGGGATTTTTTTGTTTGACAAATATTAGAAGTGGATGGCCTGATGCTCTTTGTTAATCATTCTTTTTGGATTTTATTTTCATTTGAAATTACTTTCCCAATTGTCTTCAGCATTTAAATGTAAGAAGCAGGCATTTCAAACACCATCCTGAATCTTGCTTTCTGAATAAACGCTCTTGAAAGGTTTACTGTCTTCCAGATCCGTTAAACTAATTTCAGCTTACTTAATTAGATACTATTGTAAACCAAAATGGCTAAGTTCTTTCTGCAACCCTCCAGAGACTATTATCATTTAGCTTGAACTACTGGCTGATGGGAAAATTTTTAAAGGGAAACTTGTAGGTAGAACTGACATTGCAGAAGTTAAAGAAGTTTTTTACTGATAAAAGAATTCTTTCTTACAAAGATCACCCCATATGTTGCCATCTTTAGCTTCTTTTCCTATTCACTCAGCAGGCCTTTCCCAAGTATTGTCAGTGGTGCTAGGTTTGAACATTAGGAATTGGAAATATGGAAGAGTACCATCGGGTGTTAGGCTTCTGGGAATTCATCATCCTCCTGAGAAGAAGATAATTACACTGCAATATTGATTAGTTCTCTGAAGAATTACATTTGCTGGGTAGGAGCCCTTGTGTTTGTGTTTGGGAAGACTAGAAGATAGATGAGGAGGATGTCCAAGGTAAATACCACAGGAAAGATAATGAATTTAAGATCTACGTAAATTGTTAGGGAGAGCTGTAGAGGGATTTTTCAGTCCTTCTGCAGAGGAGACTCCCCTTTCTTTTGAAAAATGCTAGAATTAGTAGTTTTTTGTTTTAACACTGTTAGTGAAATTCCAAAATACCAGTCAGATGAATTTTTTATTTTGTGCCCATTATAAGCAATCAGATACCACTTACAATGATTTTACAATGTGGTGTTTGTGAGATCTTTTTGTTTGAACCGTTTTAGGACTGGTGGAAGTAGAAGCATCCTCCCACCTATGTTTTTGGAGGGGTAGATTTAAAAGAGATTCTTTTGTAATCAAGTTCTGCAGAAAAAGGCCTGCTGATTGCCCCCCACCCGCTTTTTGGTGATGGTACTAGGGCTCAAACCCAGAGCCTCTTGCAACTAGGCACATACTGTGCCACTGAGCTACATCCCCATCCTGCTTTTTTCTGAGGTTACTTTCCTTCCTTTATATCTTCAGCAGTTGAGACGTTGATACCCACTTATATTTTCATTTCTCCTTGGGGACATTTAAAGAAAATTTCACAAAAAAAGCAAAGAGCAACTGCTCACATTATAACATCTTTTCAATTCTTTTCACTCAGCAATCCCTCTCCCAATATATTGTCATAACAATCTGTATCCTATGTATGTTCAAGGAACAGCTAGAATAATGAATATGGTGGAAAGGCAGCTGACTTTAGTGGTTGGGTAAATAAAGTATAGCCTTAAGTAACCTCTGGGTTCATATCTTGGCACCACTGCTTACAAGTTGGGTGACATCAACCCATTAAAAGCTCACGTGTAGGGCCTGGGATATACCTCAGTCATATAGCACCCGCCTCAAAAGTGCAAGGTCCTGAGTTTGATTCCTGGTGACAGAAAAATAAAATAAATAAAAACTTACGTGTAAAAGGAAGATAGTGGGTGGGGATATAGCTCTGTGGCACAAGTGCCTGCCTGGCAAGTGCAAGGTCCTAAGTTCTATTCCTGGTACCTCCCTCAAAGAAAAGGAGAATAAAAAGAGGCTTATCTTATGTGAAGATTGTGTATGTTAAGTACAAGTTTAATGAGCAGAACAGTACGTAGCTCTAGCACCATTTGAGGAATGCTTAATACTATTGACAAGAAAGTTCATCTTACCATATTAAAATTTTTATAGGTAAAAGTATGATTTGGGGTTTAAATCTAAAAAAAATCTTGGAAAATCAGATGAAACAGCTTTGACAAAATGTTAGAGAAATGAAGCTTGAGTGATGGGTGTGTGGGTGTTCATTATACTATCCTTTACATTTGCGTGTATTAGAAAATTTCCATAATAAGACATTGTTTTTAATTTTTATTTACTTTTTACAGTGCTGGGGATTGAAAACTATTTTTAAAAATTGCGTCTTTTACAGGGCTCTTTTTATTGATATCTCAATATTTTCAGCATCATTAGTTATTCTAAAAATTTCATAGGCTTCTGACATCTGTATCTACCTTCCAGGAATCCAGTGTGATACTGAGTTTTCATGTCATTTCCCACTGCCGAGTGTTCATATACTCAAAGTCTTAAGATTTTGTATAGCATATTATAAAGGGGAGAGGAGGATAGTTTTCACCTTTTCTCTGTTTATATATGAAATACAGGACAGTTAGAAGCAAAAAAGGGGAGTGTGCTTCCTGTCTTCCTATTTGAAATGTTTAATGCTATTTTGAGGTATTGAGTGCTTGAAAAAGTTGAACCGTTCAGATTATTATTAGACACAGAGAAATTAGTAGGGGACAGGTTCAAATTTAATTCTTGTTAATTCAGTTTTAATTCTCTCCATTGGGTTAGTCAACTTTCACTTTATTATTTTGTTTGTTTGTTTTGGTTTTTTGTTGTCTTTTTGAGACAGGGTCTTGCTCTGCAGTTCAGGTTGGCCTTGAGCTCACTTTGTAGCCCAGGCTGGTCTCAGACTTGCAGTGATCCTCCTACCTCAGCCTCCTGGGTGCTGGGATTACAGGCGTGCGCCACCACGCCCAGCTTCTTTCACTTTATTAATATTGTTCAGACTGTGTTATTGATACAGAATATAACAAGTCATTCAACTCCTTTATTCTAATATAGTCATAATCTTTTTAGTTTAGACCCATATGGATGTTTAATAACATTTCCTTCCTGGCATTTCAATTAATGGAAAACTATATATGGAATTCTTTTCTTTAATCTTATACCACATAAATCTGTTCTATATGTCTTTGCCATATTGCAACAAACTTGGTTTTTGGCTTCCTTGTAATTTTTAGGGGCAGGAGCTGGCAAGGAGGCAGGTGTGTATTAGGGATAAAACTCCACACATATTTTGTTTTGTTTTATTTTGTTGAGATAGTCTTGCTAAGTTGCGTAGGCTGGCCTCAAACCTGTGATCCTCCTATCTCTGCCTCCCAAATAGCTGAGGCTATAGGCATATCCCACCACACCAGATTTCCCTGTAATTTCTGGTGGTAGTTCCTCATTCTGCCTTCTAGGATTACAAAAAATAACACTGTGGTCCCTTTCTTTATTCTTTTGGTTATTAGAAATAATGATCATCTCTCCTACAAAAAAATTAAAATCACTTCTCCACCTGTCACTGAGAAGTAGCAAAATTAATTTTATCTTGATAATTATTTTTCTTGTAAGGAATAGTGAAACTACGTATTAGTTTCCTTTGTACTTAATGTACTTGCTTCCTTTTTACTTAATGTATTTTAAGGACCTTTCTATGTTAAATGAGTTCAAGACCAGCCTAAAATACATAGACCCTATCTCAAAACAAAACAAAATCGAGCAAGATTTTTAATGATTATACAGTATCCTATTATATAATTTATTACATCTTCGATAATTAGGTTGTAGCCATTTTCATAAGTAATACAGGGAATAGTACATACAACTCTTACTTCTGTAGGTTGATTGTCTAGAAGTAGAATTGCTATGTAAAATATATAAACATTTCAAAAACTTTCATTACATGTTACTAAATTGTCCTGCCCCAAAATTTGTATTAATTTTTATTGCCACCAATTTTTATAGGTAATTTTAACATCTTATTTATTTTTTAATGGCCATAAACTGAGAATTTATTTAGCTCTTTTCCACAAGATAGTCCAAAGAAAACGCAGAGGGATCATTATTTTTCATGACATGTAACCCAAAAAATAAGGGAAATTCTCTTTTTCACAAATTGGAAGGCAGAGTTAAAAGGCTTCAAGTCTTAGCTGTGAAACTAGTACCTGATTACTCTACAATGCTTTCTCTAAGAGCTAAAGATCAGCAGCCTTTCTAAATTAGAGATCATAGGAGAGTTTGGGGATGTGTGTGAAACATTTGGCACATTTCCTGTTTGCTTGCTAAATATCTAATAAAATTGGTAGCT